TCAAAATTTATTATGTGCATAACTTTTATACGATGTTTTCCTTAAAAACGATTTTAACATTAAGTGTCGGAGAGCCATGCTTTGGCACTAATGGGTCGGCTCGACGGGATTGATACCACGGCTTCACAGAAAACCAGCGTGAAACAACCACAGCGCTATGTTTCCCCTTGTAAGTGAGGTTACCAGAGTGCCAAAACCTCTCCTCCTAACATCCTCTTTCCTGAAGTCCGCGTGAAACAATCATAGCGTAGCATAGCGTTGTTTCTCACCGTGTGAGCGAGTACCAATGCTTCTCCACCTCCCATTACTCTCCAATCCCTATCTCCGAAACCGTTTCACCCAAAAGGCCGGCAACGCGTTCGTAACTCCTATGGTTTTACAAGTGTCCATGGGCAGCCCCAATTTACTGACCATCACATAAAACATAACTACGTCGCAAAAATACTTTTCACACTACCTATTTACAAACTAGCTCTCACGCGCGGTTTTACCCGCTGCTCGGCTCCATTTGATCGTAGCGTGATGTTTTATAGCCTATAGCACTCAGGAACATTGTAGCTATATATCGGTGAAAGAATTATGGCAATCCGAGCAGCAGTTCCAAAGATTACCCCCTACATACAAACTTACAAATTTTACCTCTTTATAATATTAGTATAGATTTACTTTTCCTGCCCCACGTGGAGGGATAAGGACTTTTTAATATTACTTAGCATAGATATAGCCGTACTCTATAAATGGACTAACGAACAAAAATAATTGTTCAATTCGAACCAGCATTTTCGAAGATTAGCGCGTTCAAACAAGCAAACACTTAAGCTTTATAATATTATATTAGTATATACTCAACCAAGGCGACAAAAATCTTTAATCTATAGAAAATAAATATAAAAATGAATTAGAGAATTGAACAGCTGACAAATATAATTTATTGTTGACTTATTAACACGAGATTACAAGGTTTAGCTCGATATAATGCATCATTGTTATTTTACTCACACCCTGTAGCTGCCCCGCCCACAGATTATACAAGCTTGACACAGATATTGACTGCACATCTGTCGGCATAGAGAATGCTGTTTTATTTTTAAACGATCGCGATGTTTTTGTATGTGCAACTAGCGACCCGCCCTGACTTCGCACGGGTGCGAAACTATTGCAAATCATCAGCCTATAAGTGCCCACTGTTGTGCAAAGGCATCTTCTCACACGGAGAAGGTTTGAGCATTAATCACAACGCTTGCTTAACGCGTGGATTAGCGATTTCAAACTTTTAATTAGACATTATAAGTCCAGGTTTTCTCACGATGTTTCCCTTCACCGAAATAATCATAGAAAGTACATATTACTCGAAAAAAGTCACATTGGTACTTGCCAGGTTCAAACCGGCACCCTCATGCATGAGAAGCGGGTGCCTTAACCTCCGTGGCTATAACGACACTATTTATTGAATGTTATTATACCTAAAAACCTTCCTTTTCAATCACTCTATCTATTAAAAAAATCCGTATTAAAATCCGTTGCGTAGTTCTAAAGATTGAAGCATACAGAGGGATATAGGGACAGAGAAAGCGACTTTGTGTTATACTATGTAGTAAATTTACCACTTACTTATCACTGAAATATTTTAAAAGCTTGACTTCATAGGATTTCATGTCTGTCGTCTATGCCGTGTGACAGTATTTATGTTTAGTGCGTTGGTTGTGTACTATCGATTCCTTTCTGTTTTTGAAGTGAAGAGAATCAGTAATTTTCTCTTCCCGCCCTTTGTGTAGTGATAAGGAGTTTACTTACTAATAAAAAAAAACCTCCGTTCCTCTTCCTGCTCCTTGTTCGTGAAGGGAATCCGGCTGGACATCAGCCCCAACTGTGGTGGTTTGATAGCTGTTTAAGCCGCCGTGAATTCAGGTCTGCATCATACCCTTGCTTGCTGTCCGTAGATCAGCGTCATTATCAATTCCTGAGGTATTGTTAAGTGGTTTTGATAGAATTCTGTCATAAGCACGTAGTGGCGCTAAAGTAAAACATTTTGTCATATCTGTTCGCTTCCTATGGTTGTCTCTTACGCCAACTGCGTAAGTGTGGGAGAGCCAAGCTTCGGTACGAATGGGTCGGCTCGACCGGAGTGATACCACGGCCTCACAGAATACCGGCGTGAAGCAACACCTATGTTGTCTTCACCGTGTGAGTGAGGTTAAGGGAGGCCCAATCGTCCCCCAAGGCCGGCAACGCACTTGTAGTAAGTCCTTTGGTTATATAAGTGTCCATGGGCGGTGCTGATTGCTTACCATCAAGTAATCCGTCTGTCTCAATTGTCGAGATATGACTTGAAAAAAATACCAAGTCCCAAATCCACCCCCATCCTACATCCTAGTTGGAAAAAATGTAATTTATCAGAATACCTTACACTAAACATCTACACCTCTGCCTACCCCCTTCAGAGATTCTATAGCACCATGTTAAGATTCACATCCATTTTTTGAGAGTAAATGGTAAACTTCAGAGTCAGAAAAGAAAAATAAAGTTTACATCGACGCAGCAAGGTCGAATTTAGTTTGCAATGGCTGTCCATTCAAAGAATTATTTGTTAGACACGCCCCCTTACAAAGGTAGGGTGTCTCTGATGTAATTGATTTTTGAGATAATATCAGTACTACGCAAAATTGCGGTTGAAATTGTATCCGATGTGAAATTAGGACAAATAATATAACAATTAATCTATTAGTTCGACACCCCTATCAGGCATAGAATTATCGCGTTTTTTTCGGTAGATCTTTCGACATGAGAATGAGCTTACCGAAAGCACATGCCTTCCCCTCCTCCAATTCCTCCCCAATCCTTATATCACCAAGACCCCTTATCCCCAAAAGGTCTACAACGACTCTAGAGGTGTACATTGATTTATTGCTTACCGTATTGATTGATTTATTGGTAATCCATTTGTTCATTTACCGCCGTATCATAATAAAAAAAGATCTCAGATATTTGTGTTTGGTGTTTAGTAATAAGTTGATCTCTTATTACATGTAACATAACTGGATCAGAGCTGGGGTTCATCATCATCATCATGGACCTGTTGTCGTCCACTGCTGGACATAGGCCTCCCCAATTGCACGCCACTGAGCTCGATGTTGAGCTCTTCTCATCCAACTACTGCCAGCCACCCTGCGGATGTCGTCAGTCCACCTAGCTGCCGGGTGCCCTACACTACGTTTGCCTAGACGTGGTCTCAACTCTAGAACACGTTTACCCCAGCGGTCATCGGTTCTTCGACAGATGTGACCTGCCCACTGCCGCTTCAGTTTGCTAATCCTTTGGGCTATGTCGATAACTTTAGTTCTCTGTCGGATCACCTCGTTTCGAATACGATCCTTCAGAGAGAGGGGTTACATTGTATGATTTTTAAATGATATTTTGAATCAGCAACCTGGAAATTTAATTAATAAATGCAACCGACACTTATGTACGCACTCGTAACTTCTCCATTGTTCCGGGATACCATGGGCGACGCCGATTACTTTCCATCAGGTAATGCGTCGTTATATAGGGCAGGAAACTTACTTTTACATCAGGTTCACTATCAACCTTTAAGTGCCCACTGCTGAGCAAAGACCTCTTACAAGGTTTGAGCATTAATCACCACGCTTGTTCAATGCGGATTAGACATACAATTTCACATACACATCACACCCAGACCCGGAACAACAATTTGTGGATCACACAAAGAGTCTCAGAGAAGGGAATCGAACCCGCGACACGTTGCGCGCCAGCCAGTTGCCCAGCCCCCGCGCCAACCATGCAGTCAAATGAGATCAGATGATGTTTTCCTTAAGCGTATATAAGTGGTGTCTAAATAATCATAGGAAGTACGATAACTCTGAACAAAAAATTGGTACTTGCCAAGTTTATAATCATCTCTTAATATTCTTAGAGAGTATGAGTTGCCAGGTTTCGAACCCATGCCCACTTAAACTCCTGGCCACGAACTTAAAAAAAACAACAGAATATGATCACACATTATTATTTAATATAATCGATATAATAATTTGACATAATTATAGGCATTGCTTTTATATACTTAGTTTAATTATTATACACGTGTTAAATTATTCATTAATAATACTAGTACCTAATCACTGAAATCTTTTGAAGCTTGAGTTAATAGGGTTGTGTTTTATGGTGTACGAACATAATTCTGTTTGAATCCTGTTCGTGTATCTATTTAAATCTAAAACCCAAGGGGGAGACTTCTCTTTGTGGTAGAAAAATGTCTCTAATTCCTTTTCAAGTCGTGTGTGGGGAGTGTCAGCCCCTTACTGACTAAAACTTTTCTTCTCGTATATCATTACGCTTGCATAAGCAACTTCGGAAAGAGAAACACCGCAAGGTATGGCACATTGTACTAAAAAAAGGAAATTCATGTCAAAAATATGAGAAGATATAGATTCAAAAATATAGACGAGTAAATAATGTTTTAATATTGTGTTACTAAGTGTAAAAGTATTGTTGAAAAAGATTCTTCTCGTTAAGAATCTAAGTACACATTGGTAGGAGAAAATAGCTTAACTAGAGGACAGACCGACAGATAAAATATTTTGATTTACTATTTGGTATAATTGAAATAAATGATTTGACTTTTGATTTTTATACAACATAATATCGTCACAATAACATGTAATTTTTCCTAAAACTCAAGCTCCAAAAAACGATTGGTCCATTAACAATAATTAGCTCGGTCGGCCATTTTGAAAATGTCTCAGATTTACTGGATTCATGGTCGTCATACGCGCCGGCATTGAAACGTCAAACATAGAGCTGCGACCATTCACAATCGGTTCCCTATCCAATCGATTATTTGAATCGATTTTTGTTGCACTTAAAAATGCGGACGTTTGCGATTGTAGGAGACTGCCAGGTAACGGTTGCTGCCTTTCTAATCGATACTGAAGATTTTGTTTCTCCATTTGATGGTGTTGTGTTCGAATAGCGAATCGATTTACGTGGACGGGAATAGGTACAACTATTTTGGTGCCAGAACCATTCTTGCTCGAGTGACTGCCGGACGCTAGGCCCGCTTTGACGCGTTTCCATTTCGCTCGACGATTTTGAAACCAAATTTTTACCTGTAGACAAAAGAAAAGGTTATTTCAAACAGATTATGAGTTGCTGGGGGAGGGGGAGGCCCTATCCTTCCCCTCCTCCAATCTCAATTCCTCAAAAGGTCGGTAACACACTCGTAACTCCTCTGTTGTTTCGGGTGGGTGTCCATGGCGGCGCAGATTGCTTACCATCAGGTAATCCGTCTGCCCGTTTGCCGACCTTTACCATAATAAAAACGACAGAGTAAGGAACCACCACTATAACTTTGTTGTATTATATTTACGTAACTAACCGTTTAATTAACCCGTTGCTCAGATCATACAGATCTTAGGGTGATGATATTTTATAGCCTTCCTCGATAAATGTACTAACGAACACAAAAAGCATTGTTTCAATTCGAACCAGTAGTTACGGAGATTAGCGCGTTCAAACAAACAAACAAACTATCCTGCTTTATAATATTATAATAATATACATAAATATACTAGCTTTTGCTCGCGACTTCGTTCGCGTGGTATAGTGTCTTTCAGCAGATTTTTGGTTTTGCCTACATAGTTCCCGATCTCGTGGGAATTTCGGGATAAAAACTATCCTATGTGTCCTTTCTCGAGTTCCAAACTATGTCTGTACCAAATTTCACACAAATCAGTTCAGTGGTTCAGGCATGAAGAAAAGACAGACAGAGTTACCTTCGCATTTATCATATTAGTTTGGAAGTTTGGATAATAAGTATAGATAAATTAACTATAGTGATTTCTTCCCTTTGCACTCGACCGATTTCTCTGCACTGCAACCGTAACTGAATATTGTATCTACTTAACCGTACTATCCTATTATTTAACTTTATTATTTAACTAGCCTACTTTACTATTTTGCCCGCGACTACGTTCGCGTGGAATATTGACTTCCCAAATTTCACAGAAATCGGTTCAGAAGTTTAAATGTGAAGAAAAGCCAGGCAGAGTTACTTTCGCATTGATAATATTAGTATAGATAGTATAAATACCTCACCTGAACTTCACTAAGTTTCAAAGCGGACGCTATTTGAGACCTCTCAGTGAGGCTCAAATATTTCTTAGCGTGGAACTCCCTCTCCAGCTCGAGCAGTTGTTCCGATGTGAAGGCAGTTCTTCTTCTTCTCGCTTTGCTTTCTCTTGCTGTGTCCGTTGAGTCTTCTGGGTCGGGCTCCGAGTCATTACCTGGTGGAAGAAGAGAGAGTCAGTAAGAAAACTGATTATATATCTATTTTTGCTTACTTGAATCCCCATTATAATTTTTTCTTATGTAATAGGTCGGCAAACGAGCAGACGGATTACCTGATGGTAAGCAATCAGCGCCGCCCATGGACACTCTCAACGGAGGAGTTACGAGTGCGTTGTTGACCTCTTAGGGATAAGTGTTTTGGAGATTAAAGGATTGGGAAGGGATCGGGGGAGGGGAAGGATTGGACCTCCGGTAACCTCACAAACACGGCGAAACACAACGATGTGTTTCGCCGTGTGAGTGACATTTTTCACAATTTCACGCCGGTTTTCTGTGAAGCCGTGGTATCACACCGGTCGAGCCGACCCATTCGTGCTGAAGCTTGGCTCTCCCACACTTAAAGCCTTAACAAGAGGCAGCCGCAAAAATATATCCCAAAATCTTTATACAAAGAATTTTAAATAGGCGTATCAATATTAATGGGATAAGCGTACAACGATTAAATCCAGTTAAATACGTTACATTAACTATTATTCCTACAGTTAACTGTTAACCATTATAAAGCTAACTGTACTGTTGTTAAAATTACAATTAAACATGTTTTTCTATACTGGCAAATGTATAGGGGGCGTGGTTGTTGCGTAAGGGCACGTCGGGCGCGAAACGTTGTGTAGTTTTAAAAGGACTTAAGAGTGTACGTGTAAGTCACGGACTTAAAAACAAATTTAATATGTACATATATATGGACAAGGTCCAAAAATTAAATCTATATCTATACTAATATTATAAAGAGTTAAAATTTGTAAGTTTGTATGTAGGGGGTAATCTTTGGAACAGCTGGTCGGATTGCCAAAAATCTTTCACTGATAAATAGCTACAATGTTCCTAAATGCTATAGGCTACGTATAACATCACGCTACGATCAAATGGGCAGCGGGTGAAACTGCGCGAGAGTAGGAAGTTAAAGAATATTATCGGAAAAGTTAAGACAGTTGGAGAGAGGCCATTTTTATCAAATCAAAATCATTTATTCCAACTAAACCATAAAAAGGTACTTTTGAAACGGCAAAATAGAATAGTAGTTGATTATATAGTAAAGATCACAGTAATTGATCGTAGCATACCGAGTTGATCATTTATTGTCTTTTAAAAAGTTTGGTTATTAAAGGAATCTATTGATAACATTCGCATCTGGTGTCTGTATGCCCTTTATTACCAGGGTAAGAAAGAAAGACTGAAGATATTCATAATAATAAAGGAAGAAGAAAGAAAAAATATTTATTCGGTACAGCATCATACAGAATAAACTATACAATGCAAACAAAAATAATTGTGAATAAAAAAGAACACAAAATAGATGTAGGAAATACAAAAATTCTAAAGTTAAATACACTAATTGAAATAGACCTGGAGCAGGAGAAGGATCGGGGTGTTTTTTAGTCAGTAAGAGTCTGACACTCCCTTTTACCATACCCAGGTTGGGAGAAGTCATTCGATGACAAGATCCCCCAGAAGAAAAAACTGTGCCAAAATGCCTAAACCAGTCAAAACATTGATGTGAAACGTTCGGGCCTTAAACTACCTAATTATTTTGATTTTAAATAAGTCCGATAAAAATATAATATACATAAATGATTCAAAGAGTTTGAAGTATAGGATACTTTAAACTTAATTTACTTATAATAGATACTGTAGCGACATCTAGCGCACTACATAAACAACAGCACCAATCACGAGCAAGAGTCTACATCGCGCTATAAGAGTTTTCAACACAATTAGCACCCATACAGATATCCCGACAACAACCGTCGGGCAGTAGCCCACCAGGCACGAACACCTAGCCTGGTCGGAGGATCCTCCCTTTTCAATGGAGGATGAGGAACTTTCTACCCTGTTCCTCATACCTCTAAACTGGTGACCCCGAGCATGAACATCAACGCAGCCGTCGTGCAACTACGTCATAGCCATGACGTCATCACTTCCTCGAGCTTTCAAGCAGCGAATCCTACAGTCAGCCAGCTTCCACGGCTACAACGGGTTCCCTGACCACCAGCATGCAGCCAACGCGCATTCCTGGTCAGCACCAACAGCCTCATCAGCAACTTCGGCACAGCATACTGCACCGGCCGGTCAGCAAGCAGAGACGTACTCCCTCTCCTGGTCGACGCAGCAGCCAGCCACTCTTCAGCACTGCACCACCCGACTCACTGGGGCATCTTCGCAGACAGATTCGACGCACTGAAACCATCAACTGGCTCGACAAGCATCTCACAGACGTCTCAACTAGCTAACGACCTCCGGTCTCGGAGGGGAGTGATGTAGCGACATCTAGCGCACTACATAAACAACGGCACCAATCACGAGCAAGAATCTACATCGCGCTATAAGAGTTTTCAACACAATTAGCACCCATACAGATATCCCGACAACAACCGTCGGGCAGTAGCCCGCCAGGCACGAACACCTAGCCTGGTCGGAGGATCCTCCCTTTTCAATGGAGGATGAGGAACTTTCCACCCTGTTCCTCATACCTCTAAAATACTTTAAATAATTTTTAATGATGAACGACACCTACTTAAATACACAGTTTTAATTTTCCAAACGTTTTTTTTAACTTTATACTTATTTAGAGATAAAATACACAAATTACCTTATTTCATACCAATTGTACTCGCAAAATGGGTTTAAATCGTGTATAACCCTCACCGCCATCCATGCTACTAACCACTAAACTAATACCGCAGTTAAACTAAAAGATATCGCAATAAAATCGACTAAATAGACCATAAAGCTTCGGCCGCCGTTACAGAGTAGAAAGCGCGGGAAATGGGGAGTCAAATGACAAATAGTCGCGTTGACAGATACGGACATATTATTGTTTAATAGCTTTTTCGCATCTTTTTTCGTCATTGATTTTATAAAATTTATTGTTGTGTAGTGGTTATTATACTTTATTTATTTATTTTACCACGGCCTGACAGAAAAACAGGGTGAAACAACCACAGAGTTGTGTTTCGCCGTGTGAGTGAGGTTACCGGAGGACCAATCTTTCCCCTCCCCCAATCCCTAAATCTCCAAATCCCTAATCCCCAAAAGATGGGCAAGGTACTCGTAACTCCTCTGTTGTTGCGGGTGTCCGTGGGCGGCGCCGATAGCTTACCATCAGGTAATCTGTCTGCTCGGTAAATGTCAGATTAATGTTTTTTCACATCAATGTTTCACTTTTTCTTTTTTTACATTAAATGCTAGTAGGTACCTTTGTATATTGGCAGGGACTAGTAGATAACAATACAATTTTTTAGATTTGGAACAATTATAAGCAATTTAAAATCAGTAGGTACCTAATTGTTTGTTTTTAAACACGTCCGCGATACAGGAATATATACCAGGGCATAGTGACATACCACAACATAGTATAAAGCAAAGTCTCTCTCTCTGTTCCTATATCCCTATCTAAGCTTAAATCTTTAAAACTGCACAACGGATTTTTGATGCGGTTTTGTTAATTAATATAATGATTGGAGAGGAAGGTTTATAATATGTTACAAGTTATGATGACATCAATTAAATAGTGGAGAAATTTAGTATCAGCAGTGCACCCGAGTCGCTAACTATCAAAATAAAATAATGCAAGAATTTTTTTTCGTTTCAACTTTAGCTATTTTTCTTTGAAGAAAATTCGCTCACGTTTACAATCTGTCGTCTACAGAACAAAGCAACTTCACAAAAATCTTTCCGTCCGTCAGTCGTTCACATCAATTCGGATGTTCCCTAAGTTTTTGCCCAGTCATAACCCCGGGTTCCCGGTCAAATGGACGATAAAAAGTCCGAGAGCCGAGTCAGCGCCACGCCCAACGTCGGACAAATCTAATCATTCGATAGTTGGGGTGAAGAGAAAAGGGCGATTCCGAATTTGATGTGTTTTGAAGGATTTTGTGACGAGATGATTTTTTAGGACCCGTATGGTGACTGCAAAGTGTAGTGTAGAGACATATACTTTTCTCGAAGGCATAGGAAGAACTGAGATTACAAGCTTGATGGTGATCCGGCAACAACGCTCTCTGATAAACCCGAACACTACTATCTACGGCTTCTAATCCACCGCTAAGGATTATCCCGAGCGTACGGTGCGTAGCGTTCCGCGCGCGCCTCAAAGAACCAATAGACCACCACAGACGGGGCCCTATAGAGCTGATGTTCAGCGGGGCCCACGACCGCGACCGCGACCTCGGCCCAGAGCAGGAGAAGGAACAGGGGGTTTTTAGTCAGTAAGAGTCTGACACTCCCTCCCGCCCTGCCCTGGGCGGGAGAAGTCGTTTGTTGATTTTCCGCTCACAAAAAAAACCGCTAAGGATTATGGTCTTTTATGTGGATAAGGGTTCATAGTTAAGCAGCAAGCCTGTTACCGATGGCGATTTCCAAGATGTTGTGAAGTTTTAGCGAAACAATGAAACAATAAGTGTGAGAGAGCCATTTTTCCATACGAATGGTTCGGCTCGACCGGAGTCATACCACGGCCTCACAGAAAACCGGCGTAAAACAACCACAGCGTTGTGTTTCGTCATGCGAGTGAGGTTACCGGAGGCCCAATCCTTCCCCTTCCCCAATCCCTCCCAAGTCCGTAAATCTCCAAATCCCTAATCCCGAAAAGGTTGGCAACGCACTCGTAACTTCTCCGTTGCGGGTGTTCATTGGCGGCGCTGATTGCTTACCATCAAGTAATCCGTCTGCTCGTTTGCCGATGAAGCATTCTTTATCCATCTGCTCTGAGGTTCAGGGGTAGTTTTTTTTTGTAATTATCAAGTAAGAGGTTTTAATATTTCAAGCTTCGATGGGGCTGATGTGGTTAGAAGGTTTGGAATCTTAAGCTTCAAGCAACTGCGTTAGAACCTTTAAGTCTTTTAAGTATTCCAAAGAACTAGCCTTGGTTTTGATCACAAAATACTTTTTTTATGGTAAAGGTCGGCAGACTAGCAAACTGATTACCTGGTGGTAAGCAATCAGCGCCGTCCATGGACACCCGCAACATCAAAGGAGTTGAAGTCGAGTGCGTTGCCGGCTTTTAAGGGATAAAGGTTTAGGATATTTGTGGATTGGGAAGGGATGTGGGATGGGGAGGGATTGGGCCTCCGGTAACCTCACTCAAATGGCGAAACATACCGCTGTGGTTGTTTCACGCCGGTTTTCTGTAAGGCCGTGGTATCATTCGGGTCGAGCCGACCCATTCGCGCCGAAGCTTGGCTCTCCCACACTTAAAAACTAAGCATTGGAACGTCTAACACTAAATAAAAAATAAAAATAAAAACCATTAACGTAACTTGACTGTAGTTGTCGATTGGATAGACATCGGATCATGCTGCGGATCTAATTCCCGTAAAAATTGTTATTATAGGTCTGGGTGTGATGTGTATGTGAAATTTTATGTTTGTAAACGCACCCAAGACACTGAAGAAGGTCTTACTTGGGCACAAAAAAGTATGTATAGTTTTGTAATTTTAATGAAAGTATTTAATTTGAATTGTTGGAAACTATCGGATTGCCATTGTTGCATGTTTTATGCAAATATTGTAACAATAACGCGAAGCTACCATCTGGAGTGTTGCCAGATACAAGCCATAATTGCATAAAGCTGTTGTTAGTATGTAACCTTGTGTTACACAGTTTTCTTTACTTCCTTCTATTAATTAATACTTATATTTATGTATAACTAATAGACTACCTACCTACCAGTCGTTGCATGATCTAGAAATCCGAAGAAGAAGACCTTTAAAGCAATCTGTCTGTGAGGGATTTCAATTTTTGTGATCTTGATATAAATCTTAATTCAATCTCATAATAAACTTTGAATATTGGTAATTCGAGACGAGACCTACAGGTGCACGAACGCCGGTGTTTACTTGGGGTTGATAAATAAAATTTAAACAAATATCTTGACATTAACACTTAATCTATTGGGTTATAGACTTAAAGCGACACTAGCGCCTTTAGTGTAGCAAGAATCTTATTGCGACAACTCAACGAGAGAGCAAGACAAATAATACGAAGAAAAGTCCACTAACACATTAAAATTTTAAGCCGAAAAACAGACAAAGAAATAATAAATCGCAATAAAATCTCAATAAAATACCAATTACGAGACTAAATACGTGCACACGAATACGCATTGACTTCTTAAAACAGACCGCACCGACGTTTTCCATGAAAAACACGATAAAATATCCCTTTAGCAAATAAATATATTTATTCATCACAGTCCAACGACGATTGACAGTTATCGAAAGCGCCAAATGAATTGTAAAGTCCGCCATCTTAGATTTACTGTCAAAAAGAAGAAAATTCGAACGAAAACCGGCCAGTTTGCCTGCATCGAATAACTTTGTTAACGCATAAAGCCCCGCGCAGTCGCGTTTCGAATTTTAAATGACTTTATACGAGCGGCGAGTTAAATCGATTGTAAACTCGAATGCATTTTAGTCGATTCAGATGTATCGATTACGATAAACATTTAGTAAAAATTGTGGTCACGTTTTATTTCAGTTTAAATTTTCACTCTGTCACTTTGGCAGTTTTCCTCGAACGGTTGATGGATTTAGAATAAAGGGCGTAAAATTGTTGATGGATTTGTTTGTCTGATCGTTTTAGCGTTGATGGCAAATTTACGAATAATATTACCATAACACGTCACACAAGGCTGTGCTTTTTAATCCCTTATACAGAACAAAGTACATATTATTATATATATATATATATATAAAGATATTATATATATATTATTATATTAATATCTAAATACCTATTAAAATATAAACATAATAGCAATACTATACATACTTAGAATATGAAATACTTGTGCATAATTCTATATAGAACAAGCCTGCCTCTCTTCTAATTTAGGTACTATTTGCTGTGCCCATCAGGGTCCATGATTGTTACTATACATATTATTACCATCTTATCTTACATTGTGGATGCAATAAAGAATTATGATTATTATGATTATGATTATGATTATTGTTAGGTACAAAATACATTTAAGGTATATTGTTATGAACAGATTTCTTTCGGATTTAGGGATGATGTGTATTTCTAGGGATCATGTTCAGTCGGGATTGCGGGTAGCGCAATGAGTCACCGCGGCCTCGGCCTGGAGCAGGAGAAGTCATTTGATGATGTGTATTTAAAATTGTATATTTCACGCTTGGTGGTAAGCGGTGATGCGACCTACGATGGAGCATGCCTACTAGGTATAAGCAACCTATTCACTCGGGCCTTGAAGACATCCAGGTACCCTTAACACAAACTCCGGCAAAGAATTCCACTCCTTAGCGGTGCTGATTTTAAAACTGGAGGCGAATCGCTTGGTGTGTGTAGATGGGTTATCCACCATGAAACGATGTTGTTTATCGACTGTCTGCTAGCAAAGCTTCCCCGAACATTCTTTGAAATGTATTCGATAAAGAACCGAAAGGCTTGCTACTTTGCGCTTGTGTTCCAGGCTTTGAAGTCAGGCCTCCATTAGCTTATCGTCGTATAGGCAAACAAAAACTCAATCCTGCCAACACCACGCGGCAATATTATTAGGTAGTAATTTAGTTAATAATTGCTTTTATTAATTGTATGCAACAGGCAAGAAATTTGGGTCGTATAAATAGTGCTTTACTTTTAAAACAATAGAAAAATTGTTAACTTTTCCTTTAAGAAGAAAGAAAGAAAGAAAAAAGTTTATTGACACAAACCATGTGCACACAGACATAGTAACAAAAAGGTTATTTAATATAAAAGAAAAAATAAAGAAAACTACATAACTGTGTGCCTCACGGCTGCGCCAAACAGGTCCAGATCAGCATAAATGCCAGACCACTTGGGCCTGACGCTGGTTTTCAGCTGGACCTTTGTGCATGACGTGCTACGGATGTAAACCGAATACTTTAATACTGTCTATCTAAAGAAATTCACTCCTACTGACTAAAAATAAACAAAGAAGCTACACTAAGGATGAACAAGATGTACACCAATAACAAAACAAACTTCGAAAAAAAAAAAACAAACTAGAAAAAAAAACTTGCCAAATCTGACAGATGTCACCTGAACGATTCCCGCCAAAACGGCAAACGTTCGGTTACTTGTCGATTTCACGCCACAGATGCTTTCGAGTGGCGTGAAATTATCTTTTTAAATGTCAAGCAGCCATTTCTAATTGCTTTAGTTGTTGATTCCAAATGTTTAGGGGAACCAGGAAAGTTGTGTGAACTGATTTGAGTGGCCATGAATTTTGGGGTCGATATTGTTTCGGAATAAATTTATAATGCGCTACATTTGGCCCGGGCGAAAAACCCATGAGGTTCTTCCTACTAGTAAATTAAATTAATTAAAATTTAGCTACGTATAGGACGTCGGTGTAGAAAGAAAGAAACAATTATGTAGTTTCCTAAATCAAAAATTAATTATTTTCCGTTTTCATTACTTACAATAAGTTATTAAAACATACTAAATTATCCGAGCGCTGATATAATTAAGTTATTTTAAATTGATTTAGATGATTTGATGTGATTTGACGTTAAACCATTATAACATCAAATGTTGCGTTTTTAAACAAAGTTCATAGAAAAGTATCGTCGTTGACATTTCAATAAAAGTATAGATTTCTTTTTATCATTCATTTATTTGTTTTGTGTGTTATGAATCACAAACGCGAAGAAATACTTTGATTTGAATAGTTGGAAACTACCGGATTAAATTAGCAATGATTTTTTTTTTCATAACATTGGTTGTGTTTTGTTTTTAAATTTCGAGTGACAGCTCTCTGGTGCAACAGGATTAGGCCATTAGGCTGTATGTATATATTTTTTTTTGTGAGTGGAAAATCATCAAATGACTTCTCCCGCTCAGGGCCGGGCGGGAGGGACAGACTCTTACTGACTGAAAACCCCCCTGTTCCTTCTCCTGCTTTGGGCCGAGGTCGCGGTGCCTCATTGCGCTTACCCCGCAACCCCGGCTGCTGCATGTATAATAAACTAGTTACTCTCGCGTTTCACCCGCTGCTTGGCTTTTATAGCCTATAGCACTCAGGAACATTTTAGCTATCTGTCAGTAAAAGAATTTTGGAAACCCGATAATAATATAATAATAATAATATTCTTTATTGTACACCACTAGGACAAGAACATAAAAAATATATAAAAACAAACAAACATGAGTACAAAAGGCGGTCCGATCAGCGGTTCCAAGGATTACCCCCTACATACAAACTTACAAACTTAAAAACAGTGTAAGAAGCCATCGAGTTTGCAAAGATGTTACGATTACGATAAAATAAATTAGTAAAAAAATAATTAGTTATTTCAATGTAGGTAATAAAATATAGAAAATAAACACACATTAATTTATTCACGCTTAACTTTACCTAAGTACTTAGTGCCCGTATTTTTTTATACTCAAACCCGGTTTCCGAAAGGCCGATAATGTTAAACACCCGGTTTCCGAAAGGCCGATCAATGTTAAAATCAATTTAATCTCTTGTCAAGCCATCTGATTGGTTGACTGAATTATCAACAACCAAGCAAATTACTTGACAAGAGATTTAACAGGAGATTAGTTAATTTTAGCGTTGACAAGCCTTTCAGAAACTGGGTGAAAATCAATTTAAACTCTCGTCAAGTCATCTGATTGGTTGACTGAATTATCAACGACCAATCAGATGACTTGACAAGAGATGTGACACCTGGTTCCTTGATATTAACATTGATCGGGCTTTCGGAAACCGTGC